GATGGTATCGAATCTTAACGAATTAACGGTTTCTTTTTTCGTGGAATAAGTTTTTTAAAAAAGAACGAAACTTTTTATAACCATTTCTATAGTGACCAGTTCTCTCATTCGCTGCAAATATGCCACTCCACAAGCCGAACTCCACTGATGCAGTGCTACAGATCCTATCACATGCTTTTCGTAATTATCATCGAGCATTATACTGTGATGACTCAACTTCTTGCAAACTAGTTACATGACTGTTCAGCACATGATGGGTAGGAAGCTGTACTGATGATTCCCGCTCCCAGCCACATGCAGAGTTCGGTCAGTGTTTACAGCTAAGGGATGAAACGCACGCAGATTGCATCGTAAAATGTTTTCTTACACATGACACTTAAGTCCAATCCTTCTACTACTGCAAAACTCCTCTTATTTCCCTCTCTGTAGAAGTAGACCTGCTGTCTGAAAAACGCGTTACTATCCGAAACAGTGAGCACCCTATGGTGCGTTAGAAAAGAGTTCTTGCTCCGCAAACGCCAAAATAATACCAAACCTCAGTAGGCCAAGCAAAAATTATTGATCGGGCAGATACTACAAAAAACCAGTTCCCCAGATGAATTTTTCAAGTCAACAAGGCAAACAATAAAAAGTGTGTTTGTGTGTGGATGAAGGCGGGGGAACAACATGCCTGTTCGACATTGGTCGAAGACTTCGCAGACGTTTCCAAAAACGGTATTCCCAACTGATCGGCATATTCCTGGAATAAAATAAGGTGTTTCGGAATGTTTAAGGAATTAATGACCTCTTCTTAAACCAAAAATTTACCGCAAAATTGCCATACCGATATGAAAGTACAAAAAAAAACTTTTACATAATCATCCTAGCCCACCTCACGATCAATCGTTCTTCATAATAAAATCTGCGACAACCTCAACAGTAAATCCTACCACAGTAAAGTTTCCTTAAAACCGGCGAAAAAAAAAAAAAAGGAAACCTTAGCAGCACTTTGTTCAACTGCTCTTCTGGTAGTTAGATCACATTTATTTCCAACAAGTAGCTTATTGACATTCTCGCACGCATATCGATCGATCTCTTGTAGCCATTGCTTCACATTGTTGAACGACTCCTGCAAAACGCTAAGCATTCGTTTTTTCCCCTCACCTTCGACCATGCAGGGCAAGGTGGACAGGTGGTAGAGCCAATTATCCCGCCTCTAATCGGATGTTCAACAAATACAGGTCCAAGACAACCGTAATTTTTTAAAGAGGTTAAGACAACAGTATTTTTTTTTTCAAGACAACCCTCCCAGCAGCATTACTTACATCGAATTTCTAAAACAACTGCTTGGGTCGATCTTGGCAGGAAATCATTTTTTGCCCAAGTGCAATTCATCATTGTCGTTTGCTCCCCACCACCTCTCCCCCTCCCTCCTTCCCCAGCCAGCACCGGATTATCGCAAGGAAGCATACATTTCTCGAAAGCAACACCTAATGCACCACCCAATCTGTGCTGGCCGAGAAACTCAATTTTCCGCAATATCTCTAACACAGAAACAAACCAAATGTGACACATTACCTGATCAGTGATGTCATACACAACAATGATCCCATGCGCACCTCTATAATAGCTGGATGTAATTGTGCGAAAACGTTCCTGTCCTGCCGTGTCCCACTAAAACAAGCAAGCATAACCAATATGCGCATTTTTCGAAATGGCACTGAAGTAAGATTTGTTTGTTCGTTTCGATGTTGCGCCTACCTACAACTCTTCTGAACTGTTACTGTCAAACGGTCAGGGAATCAAACCCACCATCAGCTTGCTTGTAAGCAAGCCATCGACAGCCTTGCCAGCGAGTGGTTGCTACTGGGAGAAGCTATTATCTGGGCTAGTTCCTCGGGTACTTTTGACTCTTGTACAGAGTGAATATGAAGAGGACTTTGACTCTTGACTGACGTACTACTTTGTGTTTTACCATTTCATTCCTCTCAGTTTTCTCTCCAAAACAGATGAATCGTCTTTTCCGAGTACTCTACTAAGATGTAACTATTACTGATTTTACTTTGTTAGCTGTGTATTTCAAAGTTTAAGTCACAACTCTCCCTCCTCCCCTCCCTTTTCCTTCCCAACTCCACTCTTTACGGGAGGGGGAAGGAAGCACACGAAAGCAGCACATTTGATGTTGCGGGGAAGTTAGCAGTCCTGAATGCGACACCCCTATAACCTCATCTGAACAAGCGAACCTGTACCACGATTTTCGCAGCTCAGACTGGGATACAAGAACGAGTGCATACTGTGCGCGTCCGAGATGAGCCAAGTTTCAGTAGCAGTTGCTCGCTTTGCATGGGCTGGCGCTGGAACTGGATGTCAATTGGTAAGGCTGTCGATGACTCATTTTTTCAAGGATTGCTGTATGCAGCTCCACAAGCCCTCCGCATAGTATGCGATGATATTACAAATTCCTTAGCAAATATGTTAAAAGAGCACTGAATATTCAAATTTCCTGTAAAATGGTTTTTATGCGTTTTTGCTGTGCAGCGCTATAGAGCTGCTACAGCCAGCAAAAACGCATTTTGTCGAGAGGCTGTCTGTGTGTGTGTGTGTGTGTTCGCCAAGCGAGTGCATTTTGTCACCCACTTTCAACTCGACAACCAGGAAAGCTGGGGGGCTGAAACTTCG